TATATTATAAATATAAATATTATTAATATTTAATAATTATATTTTATTATAAATAAAATGTTTTTGATTTCAGGTTGGCTGTCGCATTTTGAAGCCAAGTATGAAGCAGAAACTTAACAGAGTTGAGGAACTAGTAAACGTATCATCTTCAAAAGCAAAAGTTCATATGTAGCCATGATGTTGATCTTGTGGGACAAAGTTGTACCAGCTGTGACCATTAGGACTACTTTTCTTTGGTTGCATATATTTAGAATGTACAAAGACTTTTAAATCTAATTGTTCTGAATTAAGTATTTTATTACTTAAGATTGTTCACATGGAATTCTCTTTTATGGAATGTTTTATCAGCTATAAATTTCCACAGTTTTTTATATCAGTTTTATGATATTGGCTTCAAAGTGTTAATCAGATGAGTAAATGTGTAAAAAGATAGTAATATGGAAACAAAATATAAATAGAAAGAAAAGTTACATTTTTACTTAGTTTAAACAGAAATACTATATTGTTAGTAATCGACACCTTCCTAAAAAGAATACCGTTATTTCCTTGATTTATGGGAATAATCTTTTTAAGTTTCCATAACTGATGCTAGTAGTACTTGCTTCCTCTTGTATTCAAGATATGAACTACAGTCAGGTCCAGAAATATTGGGACATCGACACAATTCTAACATCTTTGGCTCTATATAGTCCCCATTGTTTCTTTATAATATTCCACTATATTCACAACAGCACATACAGTCAGGTCCAGAAATATTGGGACATCGACACAATTCTAACATCTTTGGCTCTATATAGTCCCCATTGTTTCTTTATAATATTCCACTATATTCACAACAGCACATACAGTCAGGTCCAGAAATATTGGGACATCGACACAATTCTAACATCTTTGGCTCTATATAGTCCCCATTGTTTCTTTATAATATTCCACTATATTCACAACAGCACATACAGTCAGGTCCAGAAATATTGGGACATCGACACAATTCTAACATCTTTGGCTCTATATAGTCCCCATTGTTTCTTTATAATATTCCACTATATTCACAACAGCACATACAGTCAGGTCCAGAAATATTGGGACATCGACACAATTCTAACATCTTTGGCTCTATATAGTCCCCATTGTTTCTTTATAATATTCCACTATATTCACAACAGCACATACAGTCAGGTCCAGAAATATTGGGACATCGACACAATTCTAACATCTTTGGCTCTATATAGTCCCCATTGTTTCTTTATAATATTCCACTATATTCACAACAGCACATACAGTCAGGTCCAGAAATATTGGGACATCGACACAATTCTAACATCTTTGGCTCTATATAGTCCCCATTGTTTCTTTATAATATTCCACTATATTCACAACAGCACATACAGTCAGGTCCAGAAATATTGGGACATCGACACAATTCTAACATCTTTGGCTCTATATAGTCCCCATTGTTTCTTTATAATATTCCACTATATTCACAACAGCACATACAGTCAGGTCCAGAAATATTGGGACATCGACACAATTCTAACATCTTTGGCTCTATATAGTCCCCATTGTTTCTTTATAATATTCCACTATATTCACAACAGCACATACAGTCAGGTCCAGAAATATTGGGACATCGACACAATTCTAACATCTTTGGCTCTATATAGTCCCCATTGTTTCTTTATAATATTCCACTATATTCACAACAGCACATACAGTCAGGTCCAGAAATATTGGGACATCGACACAATTCTAACATTATAGAGCCAAAGATGTTAGAATTGTGTCGATGTCCCAATATTTCTGGACCTGACTGTATGTGCTGTTGTGAATATAGTGGAATATTATAAAGAAACAATGGGGACTATATTGATATTTGACACTTATGATGCAAATTTTACTAATGTGACTTCTTAGTAACTGAATTTACCTTCTAAAATAGTTTGGTTTTTTTTTAAAGTATGTGCAGGTTATTATCCTTCTTCATAGCTTAAATGTATCAAATTTCACAGTTTCTGTGTGTCAAGGTTTATGGAGGGTCATAAGCTCTAATTTATAAATAAGCCCTTTCTCTTGTAGTGCCCAGATGCTAAACATAGCGGAGTCATCTAAAATTAGCTCACACGTCTCCACAAATAGCTAAGCCAGCTTTGCCTGATCTGGCTCCAGAAACATTCGGCAACCCTTTCCATGCTGGCTGTGAATTCCAAGACCTAGATGTTGCCTATTGTAACTGTATGTTTACCAGTTTCTGCTGGCGTGTTCTCATTTTTGTAGTTGTTTGTAAGTTTCTTCTGCATACAATATGACATTGCCATGATCCTTTTAACTGGATAAGTTTGATAACAAGAAGAATAAACATAGCAGAAGGTAATTGTTTCCTTATCTAATATGCAAGTGCTTCTTTCTGGCAATTTGTTGAATTATACTTAGATGTTGTACATTGTTGCATGCTTCTTTCTCGAGTGGGAAATATTTCTGCACTGATATTTGCAGAGATGTATAATGAAAGGTTAGCAGTTATTTGCAAATTCACATTGGGATGCTTCAACATTGATGGCAGATTATTACTAAGTAATGTGCTACCGTTTAATCAGCAGTGCACTGATATATTTAAATGCATTCCTTAGTAGTTCAGTCTTTAATTGTATTTGTGGTGTCTTGCATTTAGCCTTTTCATTTTTAAAAGTGGACTGTGCCAAATGGTTACTATTACTAGATGAAAACCTCTGAAATCATGTATGATTTAGAAATTTATTCTGTTTAATAGGCTAGTTCCATATTTTCCAGAGTGATAACATGATATATATCAAATCTTCAGAACTTTAGTTTAAAAAGGACGTTTTCTTCTACTTATAGAAAACTGGATGCTGTTTCTTTCTTTCTGTAATTTTTTTTAATGGGTTATAGAACTGAATAATTACTGGATAACTTTAAATAATTCTTATTTCTGTATGGTTACATGTCTTATGGCACTGATTTTTTTCCTCATTGTATAATGACTTTCAGACAATGACATTCCAACTTGCAGTATTGCATAAATTCATTGTGGTTCAGGTCCTAATAACAAATGTCTGCTGTGATCTAAACTCAGAATTTAGTTCTGTTTGAGTGCTCAACTACTGTAACATTTCATATATAGGGAATGGATTTGTAATTGGAAATAATAACGATAACAATAAGAAATCATAGGTAGGAATCTGGTTTCGATGGTTTTGTGCGTAACATTTTGTATGTTTTTGGCTTAAATGTTTTATACACAATGAACAGGACATATCCCACTCACTTTCCTGCATATATATTTATGTCAGACACCTTCAGGATCTTAAGAGCAAGTAGCACATTTCCAGAAATAACAATTAGCTTGGGCAAGTGACCATTAGAGGGCAGTCAGGCACCATCTGCAAAACAGTTTTGTCCTCTGTAGAGACCCCTTCTCAAAGATGCTCATTCCCAGTTCAACCCCCTTATAACTTCTATTGATTGTTAATCTCTGGAGATTTACAAGAAGCATGTTACAAAGTTTCTAGGCCTACATAGGTGTGCAGGCAACTTGGTTATATACAATTAGTATCTCTTTTCAAGAATTGTAGACTTTTCTGCCTCAACATTACTCCCTCTTTCAGCTTCCTCCCCAGTCCTGACTGGTACTATAGCTCAGTCTGGATGCCCACAAGTGCCTGCTGGTGCAACTGGCTTTGGATCAGACAGACTTGCTGTTTGTTCCCAACTATATTGTGAATGATTGTAAACTGAAGGTTTTCTGCCTGAATTCTCTGCTCAGGATGCTTCCTGTCCTCTCTCTGTTGCCTATTGATACAAGTATCTGTGGAGTGAAGTCTGTGCCATCCTGATGCATAGTTAGCCTATGTTTACAGCTGCCATGTATGCTATATGAGAACAACATAGTTTGGTATACACTCTGTTTTTCATATTGCCCATAGGACCAATATAAATAGCAATAATAGTACA